CAAATGGTAAGCTCTTTATAACCAGCTCGTGTCCATCTACTACCTAGATAAATTTCTTGCTACAATGTTACAAATCCATCACCTTGTTACAACCTAAAGCTTGTGCAAATCGAGGTTCTATCCATCAGCTTGTGCAAAGTTTAAAAGGGAAAAAACTCACCTTCTAGCCCGAGAGGGCAGTGTGTTGTAGCCGGGGTGGCTAACGGCCTCCGGAAGCAGTCACTCTGATGAACTCTGTTGCTCGGTGGCCTGTGAACCACCACTGGGAGGTCGGCAGGGGAGGCTACTGAGGCCCCACTGTGGGTGCCTGCCGAGTCACCACCTTGGTGGCCCGGCCAGCGAGTTGACCTCGGGCTGCCGGAGGTCCCACCAGGGTGCCTACAGACTTGGGTGGACGGGAGGTCAAGTTGTCGTGGGAGGGTCGGGGTGGGGGTGTCCACATCCATGAGGCAAAGAAGCTTGGGACGCTAGCGATGGGGTCGACTAGGCGCCTTTGACTTGAGGCGGAGTGGGCGGCCAAAGGGCTGGAACTTGTTGTTCTTGATTTACAACAAAGAAAGAAATGCTGGTTGTTTGAATGACAAGTGGGCCCTAATGACAAGTAGGGCCAAGCAGGTTGTTTCAATGACAAGTGGGCCCTACATGGTACTAAGCCATTCTGGACATGAGTTCATCGAGAAGCTGTGTTTCTTTTTATTCCATGGTAAAATGTTCAAACTTGTTAATCTCCCTCATACATAGTCCAAATTTGATGATTTTTTCTAAAATTTTCTAAAATCATGCTCTATCAATTTGACAGAGTATACATAGTTCATCATTTCAATTTTCAAAAAAATGCTAATTTCTCACTAAAATTTGAAGGGCTAAATTTTTTCAAATGAAAAACTCATGAATACGAAGTGTCTCAACTCAACAAGATCTTCAAACCTTATTAGGATCATTTTTTTCATCTCGCGAAGTTATCTAAACCTTGTTCACAAATTTTATAGATCATTCTCATAGTTCATGGAACTATGAGAGTGATACATAAAATTTGTGAACAAGGTTTGTATAACTTTGTCAAATGAAAAAAATGGTCTTAACAAAGAATGAAGATCTCGATGAGTTGAGAATTCTTCATGTTCATGACTTATTCATTTTGGACAAATTTGCACCCCTAAATTTTGGTCCTAGTTCCAATATTTTCAAATTCAAGTTTCAAAGTATCCAAACCAAGTCAAATGAAAAATGATCTTAATATAGAGTGAAGATCTTGATGAGTTGAGAAATCTTCATGTTCATGACTTTTCATTTGAACAAATTTTGTACCCTAAATTTTGGACCTAGTTCAAATATTTTCAAATTCAAGTTTCAAAGTATCCAAACAAAGTCAAATGAAAATGATCTTAATATAGAGTGAAGATCTCATTGCTTTACACAACTTTGTTTATGAAACCTTTCCATTTTCCGTCATTCATTAGCCCTAAATTTCAGCGGATCATAGTACTACTATTAAGGTCAATGACAACCTGCACCCACGAGGCGGACCAAAATTTGGCACCAACATATCTTTGAAGTCCATGTTTGCTTTAGTCACCGACTTGGGCCCCACACGGATCCCGCTCTCCAACCCCAAATCCTCGCTTCGGCCAAAACCTTATCCGCTCGGCCCAAACCTCCTCACCCTCGTCTCCCTCCCTCCACCTAGCCGCCACAACACCACGCATCCCGGCCACCACACCTCCACCGGGGCCGGACGCCGCCCATCCCGCCACCACACCTCCGCCGGGGCCGGACTCGCCCATCCCGCCACCACACTTCCGCCGGGGCCGAACTCGCCCATCCCACCGCCACACCTCCGCCGGCGCCACCCTTCCCCCGTCTCTCTTAGTGTAAGTTGTTCTTAGTCATTTCTATCTTTGTCGGGTTGAAAATGTTAACTAAATTACATTATCACATGGTTACCTTATGTTTGATCATGAACCAAATTAGTTCCTTGCTAAGTGGCATATATTTATCTTTATCATGAACATTACCTTACGCTTGTGTGCGAATGCTTTTCTTTCACTATTATTATTTTTGTTTCTCTTTCACCGGGTTTTGACGTTCTCTAACTTTTTCCACGAAATTGAATCCGGTTTCTACACTTCCTACGTTTCATCATAATAACTATTAGATGAAATGCAAAAAAAACAAACTATGAGCCGGAAAGGACGAAAAAGTTAAGCAAAACCGCAAAGTTTTTTTTGTCTATGGGTATTCAAGTCTTAGCATTGAATCTTAGGGATGCTTGCTCAAAAGGGGGGAAAAAGGGCAAAGCAAAATTTACAGAATCTGAAAACCCTAAATCTGATATTGATTATGATCCAACTATTGACAATGATAAACAATCTAACACCGATGATGATGATCATGACCTCATTCTTGAGGTGACTCTGAGGTGAGATGGATTCATAGGCCAAGTTGAAGCTTCAGTTGAGTAATAGCACATTGTACTTATTTCATGTTTTCTACTAAGGTTCGGTTACTAATGATCATGCTTGTTTCTCTTGCTAGGAAGGAAATATGGTTCTAGGCACTCGCCCTACCAACAAGAAGGCAATGCCACCGCCAGCCAATAGCAACCACATAGACGCCAACAAGATTGACCCGGGGGTATGGCTGTTGTAATGTTGTCGCTGAGCAAACCGTTATGCACACCGTCCACCACCTAGGCCAACTAGAACAAGCATGGCTAGTAGGAAAGCTTCAAAACCAAAGCTATTCATAAGGCCATTTCTAGTACTAGCGGATGCAACACAAGATCAATACAAGCACCAGCCACACCACAATGTAAACTACCAACCCACCTACTAGTACTCCTCACCAAACAGGCCACTCCGGCCAACTCTTCTCCTAGCCCAAACACAGAGCCTAGTCTGGCCACTTCCCTCTCGCCTAGTGCAGCCATATCCACACCTAGATCCCAATCACGCGCTTACTCCCACACAGAGTGTTACCCAACCAATTCCAATCGACAACTCTTTTGGGTGGCCAAAGCTCTAGACAAAGCAATGATGTCAATGAGATGGTTGATGCCGGTAATTCACAGAACCTACATGTCAAGGAGATATGGTCTATCATTGCGAGGTAAAACCATGGGTTTCAAAAGCACTATTTCACAATTTCAATATCTACAATTGCAACAGCTATAATAACACATTTATATTATTTTTGTTAATCCAACTTCTAAAAGAATGTTCGCAAAAAGACCGTGGGTTATGGCTTAGAAAGTACATTAATAGAGGAAACAAGCTTGCCATAGAGGTGCCTGAAGGAAGAAAAGACCTAAGGTCCCACTTCAGTCAAAGTCGCATCGAGAATGTGGTGTGGCCCTTAGAGACACACGCCTATCTACACTTCTTGGAAAGATTATGATACTAAAGAGGCAAGCGAAGAAGTATCAAAAGTGCTAACTACGATGGCGGTGAGTTAGTTATTTCATTCTTCCTAAGTTTCCATGCTTTACTATACTCCCAAGTGCAATGTCTAATATTTCAATTGTGTGGTTTGTAGTCATGGTTGGATGTGGATGTTAAGAATGAGGGACCAAGCAAAGTCGCATGCACTGATATCATCAAGAAGGGACTACGGCAGCAGAGGTATCACCTTAAAAGGAAGTACTATGATAGCTCACTAACAAAAGAACAATTTACCGGCTAGAGATCCTCCAGAAAAATGAAGAAAGAGGATTGACCAAGTTGGTTGAGTGCTGGTATGACCCAATGTCAGGTCCATGCCTCTTCACTATCTGATTACTTAATTAATATGCAATTCAATTTGTACATGTGAATGAAATCTCTCTGTTGCATTTGTGGTGCGGAAAAATTTGCTAAGAATAAAAGAAACCGAGCCAATGTGCGGCTTCACCAAAGGACTAGATCTAGGTCCTATATTGCTCATCGATATAGCCCCGGTAAGTAGACTACATGTCCGTATTCCAATTGTAAGGAGTTGTGTGCCACCAAATGTGAAATGTTTGGAGACAAACCTGATTGCACGATGTATGCGAGTTGCATTGATGCATTCATGCATCTTATCGTCGTTATAGTTCTTGATCTTTGTCCAGGTTTGCTTTGATACATATTGCTAGTTCATCAACTGTTGTGTTTGCTTGTGATATTCAAAAGATTATTTGATGAACTAGTAGCCTTTTTTTCATTGCATCTCCACACACCACTATGTTGATTCATTAACTGATTTTCTTGTAAATTTGACTCACTGGCCCATTTATTGTTGTGGCTGCTCTTTGTTGCAAAGGAATGTTGGGCTGTTGTGTTGGCTGAGTTTGTTTGCATAGAAGGTCTTTGGTGCATGGACTGCATGTTGTCGCATCAGATTGTGTAAGAGCTGTGGAGGCATATAATTCTATGTTCTATAGATTGTTGCAATGAATTCAATGGAGGCATATAATTCTATGTTCTGCTCGAAGCAGTAATTTTGGCATCTTGTCTTGTTGTCTTAGAAATTAATAATTTATGGAGTAACTTATATCCCATGCTTGTCCAGCCCTCTTTTTGGCTTTCAAAGATATCATTTTAATCCTACTTTTTGCCGGTTGCAGAGGCCTAAGTATAACAACATGGAACCGGATCCTGTTGAGTTCTTTGGGGAGTGCATGAATAGTCCACTAACTGGTCCTACTCCTCTGCAGATGAGATCTATGTAAGTTACATACCGATTGTATACTTGAACTGTACATGTTGAAATGACTCATTGAACAATGATGTATGGCCTTGTTACTAACTAAATTCATTCTATGTAGGAACATATGGTTGCGAGAAGGGAAAAGAACTAGAAGAAGGCAAGAATAGAAGTCTCCCTCCAAGATTGTTGGCTGATAGTCTTAGCCGGTCAGTAGTTCATCCACCTTCCTTCCAAACATTGGTGTCGCCGAGGGTCAAAGACTGCAGGCGTCCACATCGATAGCTACTGAGGCCCGCCTGCAGGCTCGGTTTCAAGCAACAATAGAAGCAGAAGACAGGAAGCTGCTCTGAAGCAGAAGAGCTGCAAGCACGCTTCAAGCTCAAGAGCAAGCTCTTGAAGAAAACCAAGTTTTGCTCACGCAGCACCCAAGAGGAAGTGAAGGGGATGAATAGCAAGTTTGAAGAAACTAATGCACTGCTGCAAGCTATGCTCAAACTCCAGAAAGATTGAGGTAGGTGAACATGCAGTTTGTGTTGCTGATGCCTTTTGCTCTGAGCTTAACCCCTTGCCGGTACCAAACTCTATGTTGTGATCTTGTTAGAATTCCATGCACTGTGTGATGGAACCTGTGTGATAGAACTTATTTGCATCTGTTTCATGTTAGAAATATGTATGTTGGATTCAAACCTGTGTGATGGAACCTAGAACTTGTGTGATGTACTGATGTGTTTACCTTATCATGGATTTGAACTTGTGAGATGGTTGCTGTGATGAGATTGTTGATGATGGAGTGTATGCTGTGATGAGATTGTTGATGATGGAGTGTATGCTGTGATGAGATTGTTGATCATATATGTCTGATATTGGTCATATATATATGGGTCGTCATTGAATGAAAGGGTCGTCATTGAATGGTCTAGGACTGCTTTAGGTAGCATGACACAGCAATGCCATCATAAAATGTCCATGATTATATATGACGGGATTGTATCGTCACAAAATGTGTCACAAGAAGTGTTTCAACCAGGTTCTTAGAGACATTTTGTGACGGTCGTTTAGGTACTACGTGACGCCCAAACTCGACAATATATGACACAAAAAATCATCAGCAGAGGTCAACAATATGTGACGAATTATATGACGCCAAACAAGCATCACAAAAACTACCTTAAATAGGGCGCGCACGGGTCGGCAGCAACATTCTATGATGCGTTGACCGAACACTATGTGACACAAGTTAGCGTCACAAAAAAGAACAATACGTGACAACAGTGTATACCGTCACAAAAGGTACCACATTTTGTGATGGTCCACCATATTTTCGTCACGCGGTACATTTAGCGACGGTCGTTATATGACGACCGTTGTGATGGTGACATTTCGTCATAACATACTTTTGTGACCAACTCTGTAGTTTACGTGACAGTTTTTGTTTGTCATACAAACCCACAAATCTTGTAGTGACCTCTCACGAGTGATGGTAATCACTGACTTCTACCGGAGTCCTGTAGCATAGCATTCTACACGATCCTATCATACTAGTAAGACTCATAGGATAAAGATATATATGCAAGTGGGTTTCATTCAACTCCTTAAAACTTATCGCACAAATATAATTTAAACTACGAGAAAAGTAGGGGTTATGCACCCAGCTTGCCTGGGTAGGATATATTAAAAAGTTAATATCCGCATCTTCGATCATCCACCATCAACTCAATGAGAAAGCCCATTGCCTCATCTCCTCGGAGAGAATTCTATTATGCCATCTTTGGATTCCCAATCATCCTTCGATCGATCCGTTGATCCATCATCGCATTTACCTATGATATGCATGCGATGCAATGCAAATATGTAATAATCAATCGCAAACTGTGACTCGTAAAATACGACGTCGCCTCTCGAGTTAACGAGCTAGTTCTAACGACGATTTACCGCATTTAGGCTACATATACACGTTGTCGGATAAGGCGTCATTTCCCAACAATTATTTTAGTTATATAAACCAATATTGTTTCTTTATTCTATTCTGTCAATTTAAACTTTATTTGCAATAGGACATCATTATCTATCTAGCAACTAATTATTCTAGAGCTATAAAAATTACAGTGAGCAGCTAATATTGTTAGAAACCTACTGTAAATATTTCAGATCCAATACTATTACTCATTTATCACAACAATTCCTATAAGTTTATATTTTGACAATGTTAAGTATCCCAATTTAATTATATAGCTCCTAAGAATTTTATCTAACTATGTGAACAAGTTACACTAGCAGGTAGATCATGATTTTAGGAGCCTAACAAACTTAGTTTGGCATTTTTATGACTTTTCTATTATTTACTATGAATTTCCAAACATTCAGCCGATTATTAACATTAACAAAATACCAAAGAAAGAATAAAGGGCCCTTGGGCCCGAAGCAGCCTAGCTCGTGTGGACCAGTGGCCACAAAGAGCCGAAAGCGGGGCGCGCTGCTCAATCAGGGCGGGCGCGCCTGAGCGTGAGCTGCCCCAGACGCTTGCAACAACCAGTAGGCCTAGCTTCTTATGCAGGGGCCTAACGCAGTGATGGCGCCAGTAGGCCCCAACGCAGGCGGACCAAAGGGCGGTCCAGCGGATGTGCGGCCCAGGCGCGAAGAACAACGCATGCGCAGCCTAGCGACGCAAGAGCAGGCCAGCCAGACGGCCCACAAAGGAGGCCGGCGGCCCAACCAGTTAGCCCAACTGGGCAAGCCCAAGTTTCACTGACAGATTTGCAAAAACGTCCCCAAGTTTCTATCTATTTAGCATGCTACCATTCTACTATTCATTCATGTCACAGCCTTTACATCAAGACCCTCGGAAAACCATGTATTTACGTATTTACGTCCTCACCTCGCCTCCAAAACAGAGCACGGATAGGGAACCGATTCGCCGGCCCAATCGGCGGTGGCGAGAGCATGACAGGGCTGGGGAACGGCACGGCGGCGGCGGACCACCCGGCCGAAGCCGCACGACAGGGACCTCGCGGCCTTTGGCTTGGCAAAGCGGTAAGAGCCAAACCCGTAGCTCGCCTGCGTGAGCCGTGGGCACTCGCGACAGTGGCGAGAGGCGTGGCAACGGCGTCGACGGGACGGACGGCTCCCAGCGCGGGTCCGTGCGGGCTCGGTCTAGTGCGGTGGTGGGCTTCACGCACGCGCCCGCGAGGACCAACGACGGACGGCTAGGAGGCGGGGTGCTGCGGCCGTCCCGGAAGAGAAACGGCCTTGAACAACGTGGGCGGGCGCCTTTCGTCGAGAGAGAGGGAAGAGCCAGCGTCGAAAGTAAGCGAGGGAGGCGAGGCGGAGTAGCTCAGTCCGGGCGAGCGCCTGAAGGCAGCGAACAAGCGCACAAGGCAAGCGTGGGCTGCTTTTGGGCTTCCACATGCGGTGCAGTGAAATGATAGAGAGGCCTTGTTTAGATTCCAAGTTTTTTCACTCTCTCTCCATCGTATCAAATCTTTGGACATATGCATGGAGTATTAAATGTAGATAAAAAAATAACTAATTACACAGTTTGATTGTAAATTACGAGACGAATCTTTTAAGCCTAGTTAGGCCATGATTGGACAATAATTGTCAAATACAAACGAAAGTGCTACAATGTCAAATACTGATTCTCAACCATCATCTAAACAAGACCAGAGAGAAGAAAGTGCACAGGCAGGCGCAACGTAGAGACAACGCAGAGACAGAGAGAGACAGCGGAGGTAGGCAAGCAGCGAAGGTAGCACGGCAAGATTATCAGCTCGACGAGACAACGGAGTCAGAGAAGAATACACAGCAGCAGCAGTGAGCAGGGACACGCGCGTCACGTACGATGCAGGCCTCCGTGCCGGTGCACACTTTCATGTCTGAGCGTGAGAGTGGGAGTACTTTGGAAAATGATACTACTACTAGTAAGATTGCACAGGCTGCGCTCATGCAGAGTTTGAAATGAGCTAAGCATGATTATCAGTATGTAGTTATCTAATTGTACTACCACACTTTGGGTCTCA